CACGATCTAATAGTGGAGTCATCGTTGAGATATGGACCTACCTTCCGTTGCCGGGGTTGTGAGCGCTGTGGTCAGCCTTACGGCAACGTGCAGCAACGTGATTCAAATTTTGAACGAACTTGCTGAGCGGCACAAGGAAGCAGAGCCGTCTATATTGACCACTATAGAGGAATGTCGGACCATTCAGCTAGCATGGACCCGAATTGAGCAATGGGCGTCACATTTTCCGCATGACGTTGAGGATCACGAGCAAGTCTTCGAAAGACTCCAGAGATCGATACATACCGGACAACTAGTCATGTCGGCTTTGGAAAACGACCTCGCACCGCTTCGGACAGCGAAAGCCACTGGATTCAGACGGCGATCGAAATTCATATGGAATGACAAACTCTTACAAAATCATCAAGATCGTATTAGAGGTCAAATCGACGCACTGTTGATTATATTGGAAGTTTTAGGCTTGTGAGTATAATTTTGCAGGAACAGACGAAGAAAACTAACGTTTTCAAGGTCATCTCACTCTGAACGTGTTGAATTGCTCTCCGTGAAAGAGTCGGTTTTTCGCGATGTTGACGAAAATGTGCGATTGATGGAGCCATCTCGTTCATCAGTCTGTGACAGCGATAGAATGAGTATCAAGAGCTACATCAGCACGGATCTACGACACATTCCCTTCGCATTTGAAAATGTTTTATTCTCCTCTCACGTTTACAAGCGGAACCTTCGATTTCCTAATATGAAAAAGATGCTTCCGAAACGAACTTCTAGCATCCGAGCTGAATCATTACGGCCTTCAGCGTCCACTAAGTCCACGAAAGAAGGCCTCAACCCCGAGAAAAGCAAAGCTAAAAGCACCCGTCTAACATTCGATGATCCGAAAACCCCCGCAGAAATCGAAGAGATTGATGATGATCTGATCGACGCTGTCAACGAACGAAACTACCATTTGGCCATTGACCATTTACGCAAGGGCGCAGACATCAGGGTTCTTTGCCGTTACGTTGATGGCGTTCTTGTTTCCGGCAACTGGAATTACATGGGTTACACATTTGGCTTATTGGATGAACTCCGCCATCAGGACGCGCCACTCTTTATTACAGTCATGCAGGTATTTGGTTTTACATATGGCGAACCCGCATTGGAGACGATGTTCCTCCACTTGACAGCCCCAGATGGTACTTCGTCTCGTAAGAAGGATAGAGATGATGCGGAAAACAAGGCCAGAACCGGCGACACCACGATCCCAAGTTCAGTACTGGAAGACTCATTGATATTTTCAGCCGGAAAGCTTCACGACGAAGCAGTTACTGACCTTCCCAAAGCCCGCAACCTGGCCGTCTTGCAACTTGCGTGTCTCGCAGCAAAGCCAGATGTAGTGGAATATATACTACAAACGGGAGCCCCTCCTCAGCCAAAAGACCCAGCCCGGCACCCTTTCATCCTAGCTACATTACGCCGCTGCTATCCCATTATGGAATTATTTCTAAAAATGGTCCCTTTGTATATCACGGACCAAATTCGAGACCTGGCAATAAATATGATAATCGATAAGTCGTGCATCCTGGGCAGCAAATGGAGCCACCTCGAAGAAATTCAACATATTCGTTTTCCACATGATTATCTTTACCTACGATTTATATTCGAAAACACGAAACGGTCGCCGAGTCGTTCGATTATACCTATTCTGGAGCTCGCAATCCGCGCGGCTGGCCCGTTTGACCATGCTTCGTTCAGGGTCATCGACGAAATTCTTGGTACACAAGGCGTCCTACTCAGCAAGAAAGACCATATACCTAGTGATTCCCTGCTCTTCGTTGCATGTAGATGCTCTCAGCCAAGGATTTTCGATGTCCTCCTCAAAGCTGGAGCACATACTCTAGACGCCAAGGACTCCAACGAGTTCAATTCCGTCATGATGAGACTTACCGTTTCCAAGGATCCAACCCAGATCGAGATGGCGTCAAAGATTTTGAGCCACAACAATCTGACTTCCTGTTGGCCTGAGCAATTTGAGTTGTTTAAGCGGAAAATGGCAACACGTAAACTGGCAACGCTCACGGACGAATTCGACGCAAAACTGAGTCTCGACTTGATTGGATCTCACGACGAATCCCATTTGGATCAAACCTCTTCCAGGCCGATGCTTTCTTCACTTGAGAAAATCCTCACCTAGAGGCCCTTGGAAGCGAACATGCGAAAGAGAGCTGTCCGTTCGCTGCTCCGATCATGCTCTCTTGGCTCCTGTCGAATCGGCCATAACTTTAAATCTCTTCAATCCTCACGCAGTAGCGGTTAGGTGTTATGCCAGCTAGTAGAGAGGACCGAAACCTCTCTGATGGCTTCTAATTAGCCACTCAAGCATTTTGGCACTGTATTCTTTTGGCCCCCCAAATCCGCAGCGATCCTACCGCTTTAGGAATTCCGAATTCGCAACTGCAACCACGTTCGACTGTAAATTTCTCTCACCACACTCCCTTCTGGCGACCGCTTGTCATCCCGATCACTCTCTACAGCAATACCCACTATGTCCATCAACCAGCGTACAAGTGCAATTGTTACAAAAGCCCACAAAGCCTGCGATGGCAAAACAATTCTTCCTATGTTTTATATTATGCGCGGCATTACTCGCATTCCTAGCGCGGGCTCCAACCGTTACGCTAATAACGATTATCATGATAAGCAGGCTGACAACGATGCCGCCTAGGATGAGGGTTTTGGTTCGGTGGGAGAGATCCCTTTCAGGAGTTATACGGTGAGGTTGGCTGGGTGGATTTCTATATCGGGACTTTGGCTTGGGGACGCCGGTTTAATGTGCAAGAGGGAGAAACAATGAAGGCTTGCGGTTTGCGGGGCGTTGTCAATTTCGAAGCCAAGTTCTGCTGTTTGTGGTGATGTTGTCGTTGACTGTTGGCCTTGTTTTGAGTTCTTGACCGATTTATTCGCTTGGGTTATTTCTTGCGCAAAAGCTGCTGGTGGAAAATTCGATTGATTCCAAGATACGCTCAGAGACGTTGAAAGTATCATTCGGTCGCTGATAGCATTTAGGATCTGCCAACACCTCGAAAGTCCCCTTAGTCCTAGTTTAGCAACATTAACTTAACCTGTGCATAATTATGACAGATTTTCTTCCTCTCAAAACGTTACTGAAAAGGGAAGGTTACGGTAGTATGTGATCGAACACTATTTCCTGCGCCCCCAAATAGTTCCAATAGAACCTGGAGATGCTGGAAACTAATTTTGCGAACGTGCCATTTCACGACGCACCTCTTTAAATGCTATTTCAAGTTCTCCTCACTTTACGCACAGCGCCACTCCTCGCATACCTAAAATACACCATAATACGCCTATCTAGAAGTGGCGTGTTGGAGTATAACTTTTGGTGGTCAAACAGAGCGCTTAAATAGGAGGTTAATAAGTTTCTGGAGGAAGGCCTTATGAGATGCCTTATGTAGAAAGCTAGATAGCGCGAAGGAGGATCTTGGGGGGGCCTTTTTCTTTATTCTTTTGGACTGGCTAGGATATTGGGTTGGTGGAATAAATTCTTTGTCATTTAATCTGCGTTTTCTAGCCATAGAAGGCCAAAATATAGATAGAAAGTTTGGCGTTGATGTTTGAGACCCCGAGATATGAGCTTGATGATCTGGCAGATCTCCTAACTGCCTAAAAATAGAGAGAATTTATTGGTGCAGACTGGGCAACGATAATGGTATTTTATCGCGATTATCGTTAATAATAGATCAATTTTGTACACTAGCGTACGAAATCCGAATCTTAAAACTTTAATACAATAAAGAGTTCCGTATAAAGTATAGAAACTACTAATATAATTTTATTTTTTACTTTCTGCTACGGCTTAAACCTCAGCCCTGCATATGCACGTGCCAAGAGGCTGCTAGCTAGTAAGCGAGCGCCTTGGCGCGAGTATTCTACCTGTTCGCCCCTAAGTTCCTTTGTGGCTTTTCGAGCTACGTCTTGTTAATTAGTTATAGTTCTACTGTCGAAGGGTTCGATTCGAGATTAAGCCCGTTCTCGTTACTAGGAATCCTATCTGTCTATTGCAATCCGGCCTGCCTGCCAGCACCTAGGTCCTACTACCAACCAAGAACCGTGACACTTTCCTTTGACTTTATTCACCTTTCTTAGAATATATTCGGCAATAGTAATAATAATAGCAGTAATAATAGCAGTAACAATAATATTATATATTATAGCCTAATTATAAGAGTTATATAGGAAAGTGCGGAAATTCTAAGGCGGCTTGGCATTTATTGACGATAATCGCGATAATTTATCGCGATAATAATTATCGTTGCCCAGTCTGTATTGGTGCACACGACGCTTGCACGGGCCACAATATTGTGTCTACTATTATCGGTGCAAGGGATACTTCGACTCGACACTCAGAGTTTCTTTGCCTAAGTATACAAATTACCACCAACACCCGAGACTTACTTTCTCGCTTCCTTCGATACATAAGATATCCTATGACACCCTCCAAACTATCCTTATCCGAAAGATCTCAAAGGACGTTCATGACATAAGAGTCGCAATAAAAATTCCGCAGGGAAATCTACAGCCGAATCCAGATAGGTTCGATGCTAGGTTTAACGCTAGTTTTCGTGATATATTTCTTAAACACTAAGCTTGTACTATCAAAATAGTATTAGTTCACATTTACGAACGTAATATAAATTAGCATTGAAACAATCTGTTTACAAGCTTATTGCTTGTAGAAAGGCGTTTTATAAGAAGTTAGCCATCCACTACGCCATAAGCGTTCTAAAAAGACGTACTCTTATGTATTTTAAGTGTGCCAGTGGGGTCGTGTGTCTATGCTGCTGCCATGCAAAATATTGGTACCAATGGAGCTCCGTATAGTGTTTGCTGCCTGAAGTCCACAAAGTGCTGAGCACATGATTGCCCCTATTCGACACTTTCGCAGTGCCAATAAAATATTATATAAACAAAATTATTTCTTACGAAAAATCACATTTCAGAGGTCCTCCATGGCGCAATTGGCTAGCGCGTCTGACTGTTATTGGGGATATTATTCTCGAGACATCAGGAGGTTCGTGGTTCGAGCCCACGTGGGGGAGGTCCTTTTTTTGCGTCTGGATCCTTTTGGTGGTCGAAGGGTGGTGGTTGGCCACCAATTTCCTTTTGGCTTTTGGAAGCTATTTTTGGTAGAGGAGTAACGTGTCGAATTTAGGGGTTTGCATTTTTGGTAGGATTTAGTGGAGGTTGACAGATACCGGTCGTGGGTTCAGTGCTCACGTGTATATAGTTGCAAAGTATAAAATACATACGCTGCTGCTGCTGCTTGCCGGGATCCAAAGTGGAAAAAAGTATGCGAAAAAAAACATTTGCTAGGCGATTGAAAGAGAATCCATTCCATGACGCCGACGATGTCGAAAATGCCATATAGATCACGCCCAAAGACACTCTTGGTGCTATTCTTTAATAACCGGAAATGCTCCGACAAACAAACCTTGGCAGCAGTACTTTACTCTGTCGGTCCATTCCAAACTCGAACTGATACAGTTTCTCCTAGTGTTCTTCTACGTCTCATTTGCAAGCAACAGCATCTGTTTCTTTGACACGATATAAGTGCAGATATTTAAATCATTCCACCAGTCGTTAGGACACACTTGAAATATGAACGTAACGAACCCGTTCCAAGATCTTCCCGCCTCACAACATCAATCTCATGCACAGGAAAAGAGAATAACACCCAGAAAAAGAGAGAAAATGCAGAATCGCGTTGGAGGATTGAAGTTGAAATACGCGTCTCCGGCTTGGGAAGCCAGGTCGCTGACATAAGCATCACCTTTAATTCGCCTTGGCATCACGTTGCACATTCACGGGAAGCTCACATCTTCCAGCAACCCGAATCCTCACACGACACCACCACCCCACCATAGCACACATTCCCAAGCACAGCCATGTGGATCTTCAACTGGTATGGCATCCGCGGTCTTGATTTCACCCTCCACACCGACGTCTAACAAGCAGACAGGTGTAAGCAGCTCCTCCGGCCCAGTGCAAGCAATTCCGAGCCTTCCCTGCAATCGATGCCGTGATGTTTCGGCTCAGGCTGGACGAAGGTATACTGATGAGTGGCAACAGTGCTAGACGTATTATCTAACCTTGGGTTACTCAACAAGCACGCAAAGTTGCTGTTTCTTGGCTTGGATAATGCGGGCAAGACGACGTTATTGCATATGTTGAAGAATGATCGAGTGGCCGTTTTGCAACCTAGTGAGTTCTCCCTGGGGGAGTGCGCGGTTCGTAGAATGCGCTGGGGATTGCTGTGTGTGGGATTACACTAATGCAGATTGATTGGCAGCTCTACATCCAAGTTAGTCCTACCGCTATCGACTTTCGCGACTTCACTGTCAACTACTCCGATTCTCACCCTCCGCACATACTAACCTGCTCGATCTCCAGCATCGGAAGAACTTTCGATCGGCAATGTAAAATTCACAACCTTCGACCTCGGCGGCCACGCTCAGGCGCGACGTCTCTGGCGCGATTACTTTCCCGAGGTATCTGGAATCGTATTCCTCGTGGACGCGAAAGACCATGAGCGGCTTCCCGAGGCCAAGGCCGAGCTTGACGCTCTTCTTTCCATGGAGGAGCTCAGCACCACGCCGTTTGTGGTTCTGGGGAACAAGATCGACCATCCCGACGCCGTGAGCGAGGACCAGCTTCGAGCCAGTTTGGGCTTATATCAGACAACTGGTAAGGGCAAGGTGCTACTCGAAGGTATCAGGCCGATTGAGGTGTTTATGTGCAGTGTGGTTATGCGGCAAGGTTAGTGGATGATTATTCCGACGGTGTTGCAAGGCTCTCGAGATTTCTGGTACTAATCAACCTTCCAGGCTATGGCGAGGCCATCCGATGGCTTAGTCAGTACGTCTAAGCGTATTGCCATTCTTGCTGCAGCAGACGAAATCGACAAGGAAAGGGGTTAGGCAGTAGAGTAGGGACGAGGTTCAATAGCAAATGGGAGCTGCAGGATTACAGGCATTTGGCAACACGTTATGACACAAATGACCGCACGAAACGACTTTGCACCCTTGTAGATCCTTTTGCGAAGTGGGGAGGATTGTATGCTTGCTTGGTTTTTGCTTTCTTTGAGCCTTTGTTATATCTTTCAAGCGACATGAGTAGAATGCGTGAGCAATGTCAAGTGGGATGCACGTTGATAATACGCTTCTTGAAAAAGATTCAAGATTATTGCGATAGTCGCATGATATTGTGCATTAGCGTAGTCAGTCTCACGCCTGTGCAAGATAAAGTGCTATTTCCATAACTCCTCAATACGCCACGCCGACCCATTTTACCATCCAATCTCCATTGCGCAAGATGCACCGCAGGAAAAATCCAACAACCTCAATCACAAATTAACATCACTCTCTAGAACTGCTCTGACCAATATCTCCCTCCCACTGCAAACAATCCTATCCGCAACCACCTCCCCCACCTTCTCCACAAGCCTCTCCCTCACACCCTCCAAATCCTCCATCCCATTAACCACAAAACCGCCCCCTCTCCCGCCCGCACTACTCTCTAACCCCTCCAACCCCTTCATAATCGCAATCACGACCATCTCAGCCTCCAGCTTCCGACTATCGTCGGCAAGCCCCTCCTTTAATATAGTATCGTACAGCTTAAGATTCGGCAACACGAGCAAGCGCACGCCTTCCGGGCCGGCGATGCCAGTGAGGCCGATTATGGCGCCGTAGTGCGTGCCAAAGGGCTTCGCCGGGTCGAGGAAGTGCTTCAGGCATGTGCGGGCAATGCGTGGTTTCAAGGTTGCTGAGGTGGAGGAGTAGCGGCGGGCGATGGTTGTGAGGATTGAGGCGGCAAGGTCGCGGAGGGCAAAGAAGGCGATGGGGTTGGTGTGGGCAGTGCCGTTGGCCAGGAGGGAGTCGGAGGAAGTGTTGGTGGCTGGGGAGGGGGAGGGGCCTAGGTGCTTCCCGACAAGGCATGTGAGCACAGGCGGGACGATGGAGGCGATGTAGGGGTCTAGGTAGATTGTTGGGTTCGAGAGGAGCGCAGCGGTGGCGTGCATCATTTGGGTAAGGATGAAGATGTTTTTGAGGTTGTGAGTTACTTTTTCGGCGAAGAAGGTTATTAGGTAGGTCGTCAATTGGTGGATACCGGGATCTGTGCGGAGGGAGGCAAGGGCTGCATTGCGCCATTCTTCGTTTGTCTCGTCGACGAGGGCGGAGGAGAGTTTGTTGTAGAGCTCGATGGACTCTTTGCTGAGGACGTGCTTGACGAGCGGCTTGACGGAGACGTTGTCGTGCCCGTTTACAGCGGCGAGGTATGGGTTTGCGCCGATGCCCTTTGGGAGGAGGTCGTTGTGGCGGGAGTCTGAAGATGTGGGATTTTGGGGTATGGAGGGTTGCACGCCTTCAACGGCCAGCCAGTGTGCTGTGAAGGTGATTTCTCGCGGAACCTTTGGCAGCGGCGAGTTGATGAGCTTTTCAAAGTCTACCTCCTCATCCTCAACATAGTAAAGCGGTTGTCCAGGTCCAATGGAAGCCTCTCCAAATCGCAGCGGCCGCGTCGATTCGTAGCCGAAGAGCGGCTCGACATTCAGAACCCTCAGCGCATTCGAGATGTCCTGTGTGCCCAACGTCGTCCGCTTGCCATGGCGCATGAACTTCAGCGCCTCATCCAACACCTGTGTTATCCGGAAATCGACATCGCGCGCCAGCTCCTCGACCACGGCGTCACTGAGCGAAGCGATGCCCACGGATTCAGCGACATCCTTAATGTTGTCGGGGTTCCAAACTGACATGCTGGCGCTCTATCGGAGTAGATGGGGGAGTGAGGAGCGTGGCAGCCTCGCTAGGGAATTTGTGAGTGCCACAGAAGCGTGCCAACTGGCTGGTGCACGTATCACCAAGGCGGTCATGCAGGAGTGGTGAAGGTCAGCCCTATGCGCAGGATGCGAACGACATGTATGCGGCTCCCTGCAGGAAAGAATCCAAGAGTAGGGGCAGTTCAGGAAAGAAGAAAGTCCGTAGGAGTAATTTCCGAGGTAGTAGATTTGCAGTCGTAGATAGTGTCAGTTTAAGACCTTGGATTATACCTAGACGGTGAATGTCGTTCAAATGGCTATAGAAGGTGATGAAGTGGTAATAGGGTCGGGTAAAGGCTTGGCAAGCCCTTGTCTGGCGGAGAACTTCATTTCGTTCTTTCATTCCCGTCCAACCTCGTCTTCATTCAGTATCCGGTTGTCATTTGTAATAACATCCCGGAGAGCTGCAGCTTCTGTTAAAGCTTCCTGGAGTAATATCACTGACGTGCTTGCTATATGCATATGCAAGGGCATGCGAACATATGATGCCTCAGGCAGCAAGCATCCCCAGCAAACAACACAGTATACCTAGGTACGGCTTCGGATACAAGCCGGCATTGGAAACAAATTCATATCGGCATCTCACACAACGATGTCATGTGAACTATCCGCCATTTGTCATTGACTTCCGAGGTAGGGCCCGCCTGCCAGCCATTCACTAGTCTACTGTCAATTCCCGCTCACCTCTTACCTTCTTTCAAACGGAATAGCTACCAGCCGCCTGATTATTGAAACACACTTCCAGATGAATTAAAGGAGAAATCGGTATCTACCTACTTCTGGCACGGCAATCCACATTACCCCTCTATCAGGCCTCAGCCTCAATATTTTCCCATTCTTCCCTTGTCACCAAAACGTTTGTTTGCCGTTGAAACTTGTTGCTTCCGCGTTTTGCAGTTGCTCGTTGCTCATTCCCAACGTGTTTGTACGCTGTCAGCCAAATAAACAATATTTGCACGTATCATGGAATGGCCCTTCCCGTCTTCCCGTTCGGCCCGTTGCTCTGTCGGGCATTTGTTGTAGCAAGCACAACTTGGCAGAACCGTTTGCCAACGCTGTAGCCCTTACCCATTGACTCGTCCAACAAGCTACATAAACGTCGACCAACGACCGTTCGTACTTCGTTTTTCCGGACACACCTCGATTACATTGCAACTAAGCTTTGTAACTAAATCTTGCAACTGGTCCCTTTGTGCATCTCTTACGAGTAGAACATTCTAT